TTGCATCTCGGGTCGCATAAAAACATTTCCAAAGTTTTTAATAAATAACACAGGGACGGCCTTCATTTTCGTTGAATAAATGAACTTTAATTTACAAAAAAAAAACGCGAAGATAGAATTTTTTCGTATAAGACTTTTCTATTACAAATATCATCAGGAAGCTGTAATTTAAATTTTATAGATTATACTCTCCACACCCTGTATAAAGTCACTCTTAGAACGTCAGTTAATTCATTTCCGTTGAAAATGGAGCAATGTACAATCTGAATATTCATTTTGCCTTTATCTGCTTTACTTCTATAGGCACGTATACAATAGCGTAAATAGTGCTGGAATCGCGCCTTTGATTTTCCACCTGAGCAGCCGGTGCACCGAAGGAAGTCTTAAGGATTATAAGTATTTTAATAATAGTCCGCGATTTCCTGCAATTACGTGACAATTCGCTTATTAATATCTAGAGCGTTCAATGGCAAGAATCCACCCCAGACATTGATTCACCTCCTGTCACGGGAAATATATTATTTTTGCAAAAGTTTCCTTTCATTCGTCGTCACCATTGTTTCTCCAGTCGATCGGGATTTGTACACAACAGACGGATGCGTGGGTAGGTAAAGAGACGGGTCTACTTCTTTCCTCACGCTGTTTGAGTTTGCCTTTGTGTGTGGCTGAGGAAAGCAATATTAATGCAAATTAAATGATGTTTTCTGCTAATCAGATTTCAGTAATATTGTTACGACCTACTCTGTTCGCACAACGGATATAATAATACAGGGACGATTAAAATATCTTGTGGGTACACGTGTTCGCAAGTGACCCATTTTTAAGTACAACGAGACGCCGCACAGTGTGCCCATTTGGACAAAATTCTGCCGACAGTACAAAACTAAACCGATTTTCATGAAAATTTTTTTGCGTGTTTGTTATACCTTGAAAAATGACCTATGGGTGCGATAAATTTAATTTGTGACCTTTTGACCTTGATAAAATTCGAATTTGTGGGACACCCAGCCTGTTGTGCATAAAATACATTTTTAAAATAACTTCACAGACATTTTGGACCATATAATGCTCACGAAAAATTGTTCAAAGTTTTTTCTCAGTTCTTATTATCTTTGTGACTTCAAGCCATATCACCAAGGTCATTTGAAGGTCAAAGGCGTATTTTATAGGCTAAATACTGTATATTCATAAGATAAGGTTTGAATTCATAAAAAATTATTATGAAACGATATGAGTATCAGCCAGCTGCGACTCTACGTTCGTATCTCAACATACAGTGTGTCCACGGATTGAATTAACGTGGGGTGTAAATGATAAAAAAATTTCGAGTTGAAATTTGAGCTTTTGAGCATCATCTCTGCTTGGCCTTAAACTAGGAAGTTGAAAAAATTAGTCTAATAATTAATTAATGTACAGGGTGTTTTTACGATAAACTTTCAAAAATTGTCAAGAGTAAAGTACCTTTGTTTTTAAAAATATCAAAAATATTTACTTAAGAAAGTTATTGAGAACTAAATGTTATGACATATTATCAATTTTCAATTTGATCGGCCAACTTTGTTTTTTTTTATTTTTCACAACCACAAAGTGCAAATTCCTAATTATTTATTAGAAAACAAACTTAACTAATATAATAAAGATAAATAAACAAATAATATAATGGTTATTCAAATGTGCTGCAACCAACCATTACACATCGCTCAGCGCACTTGGTAAATTATATGTAGGCGTTTTGAATTTCGTGTACCTTTTATTCTTCGTTTCAATTCAAATAAATCGTTATTCAACGGGGACCCATAAACTTTATGCTTGAGATAAACTCATAAATAAAAGTCCATTAGAGTTAAATGAGGACTTCTAGGAGGCCAAGAAATTGGGCCATTTCGCCCAATCTACCGGCCAGGAAATTGACCATCTAGCCATTCTCGAATGATTCGCGTTGAAAACAAAGTTGACCCATCAAATTGAAAATTGACAATCTGTCATAACTTTTACTTGTCAATAACTTTCTTAAGTAAATATTTTTGATATTTTTAAAAACAAAGGTACTTTACTCTTCACAATTTTTGAAAATTCATCGTAAAAACACCCTGTACATTAATTAATTGGACTAATTTTTTCGACTTCTAAGTTGAAGGCCAAGCAGAGATGATGCCCAGAAGCTCAAATTTCAACTGGAATTTTTGTCATTTACACCCCACGTGCACTCAATCCGTGGACACACTGTACGTTGAGGTAAGAATGTAGAGTCGCAGCTGGCTGATACTCATATCGTTTCATAATAATTTTTGATGAATTCAAACTTTATTTTATGAATATACAGTATTTAGCCTATAAAATATGCCTTTGACCTTCAAATGACCTTGGTGATATGGCTTGAAGTCACAAAGATAATATAAAATCAGAAAAAAACTTTGAACAATTTTCCGTGAGCACTGTATGGTCCAAAATGTCTGTGAAGTTATTTTAAAAACGTATTTTATGCACAACAGGCTGAGTGTCCCACGAATTCGAATTTTATCAAGGTCAAAGGGTAACAAATTAAATTTATCGCACCCATAGGTCATTTTTAAGGTATAACAAACATGCAAAAAATGTTTAATGAAAATCGGTTTAGTCTTGTACTGTCGGCAGAATTTTGTCCAAATGGGCACACTGTGCGCCGCCCGGACGCACCAGGGTTCCCGGAAGACGACCCCGGCAGATTGGCGCCAAGGACCAGGTACTTCTGCGAGCGACTCCACGCCAAGAGGGACTCTCCAGCAAACATTCGAACCGACAGCACGTCTTTTTCCACAAGCTTAGTTTTCAATAAAAGTAGTTTATTTCTACCGTTGAGAGAGCGTTTTATTTTTGCTGTACAGCGAAAGCAACCCTCAATATAATGGATTTAATTCTACATAATTCCCAGAATCTAATCCTGTTCTGGTTTGAACTGAGGTTTGAACCTGACGCTTTATGTCTAATGATATTTTAAAGCTGTATGTGCCTACATGTAGGATCGTAACTGAAAATTCACACACTGAAACTGAGCTACGACTCCTGACAGAAACAAATGTTACAGCTCAAGTAATTTAATTACACCAATTAAATTAATAACACCCTAGGTGGCGCTTTCTCTGCCGGCAGATATTAATGAGCAATAATTAAAATCTGTGGTAATGGATTACTGAAAAATATACCGCGTACGGACGTCTGTTATTAGGCGAACAGGTAGTCAAGGTAAAAGATACATTACCGAGATCTTTCGCACCGGCGACAGTTTGAAAAATAGATTGCTTCGAGAAGATAACGACCCATTCGAGTTTTTAATGGAAATCTGTTATTAGGTAAAAAAATCGAAATTTTTTATAGCTTTTAACTAATTGGGTGCTAGTGTAGCATATTTAAGTAACAATTCTTCATTGATAATGAGCTGGAAAATGGAAACTCAGGTGATAAAGTTAATTCTAATGGGCTTTCCTTGCTGCTTTGCAATGTTCACAATTTTCCGCGTCTGCAAAATGTAGTTTTGTAAATTTTTCAAAAAATTATGTTCAGTGCCTGTGGTGTTACGAAAAAAAAGATTCTAAATCACAGCCAAAGCACGGACGAATCGAACGAATTCATTTCAAGTTATTACCTATATGATATAAATTCAGCCACACTTTTGCCCACACTAGTGCGAATTCGCACCGATCGAACTTTTCAGTCTAGTTTGGCCGACAATAACAGACTGTGGTACGGCTCGTATGTTTGGGCTCTAGAAGGCATTATCGTGGTGGGGAAACCCTCGGTAGCTGCTACCTGTTAAAAAAAAACGGTGGTGCGAATTCGCACTACTGTGACCTTTGAGGGTTGAGAGAGTACGGGAACTTTGAGCTTCAGTGTTGGACGAGAACAAACTCAGAGAAGGAGAAACTTAGACACAAAAATTTTAAAGATTTTATGTGTTTCTAAAAGTTAAACGTAGCCTCGGTATAAATGTGACCACTATTCAAAGTCGCACCCCGTACAGTGAAAACAGTATTAACAGTATCGTTCATTTTACGGGGGACATAAAATGATAAAATTTACAGAGTGGATGACAAATTAACCGTCTGTTTACCTCGCGCCATTCATCGTGCCCATCAGCAAATCTGTTAGTTGCTTCGGAAGCGGGACGGGCGAAGATTTTACTACGATTAGTCTGGTTTTGTTGTTGATGATCCGCCGCGACTGGCGCGAGACAATTCTAACATGATTTACGACCTCAGAGGAGGAATAATTAGGACCAAAGTAGGCGGTCTCCTGAGTAATCGCCAGCCATCACGAGAACACCGAAAACAATCGGGGATAATAAAAATTGATGACGCAACAGTTCGGTAATTACCGTTACCCTTATTGGCAGGAATTAACTAGAGCCGCCACGGTACCGAGCGAGGGAGGACTGTTGTTGGATATTTGGGATCGAGGGGGCTGTGTTTGAGATGCGTGCTAGTTTAGCAAATTATGGGAACGTGCCACAAATAGCCGGCAATCGATATGACCTTGATCTTAAGGCATGATTGACTCAACACAGTGCAGATATTATGAAAAAGTATGTGTGCGAATCAAGAAAGAGCTGGTGTAATCAGAACCTACTTTTTGTCAGGAGAAAACGATGTTGTTGCAAGACGACGATATTAGATGGATTATTCCGACCGATGTTTGTAAGATTGGTTCATCATTTAAGTGGGTATGGTGGCTTTGGACGCCAATACGCTAATATTACACGGGAACAAACACAGAGAGTGAGAAACTTAGAACCAGACATTTCAGATGCCGTGGATTCTGGTATCAGCACCTGAAGATTGGTCACAATCAGGCGAGAAAATAGATCATTTGCTCATTTTTATGCATTTCTTTTATCATTATTTATTTATTACCTACTGTTTAAGATTTCTGATAGATTACTTAGATACTGTTGTTTATTTAAATGAATTAAATTTTCTTGTATGTGGGATGATAGGGCTCGTGTCAAATAAAAGTAACACAGCAAATTGGACCAATGAAATGCTTTTAATTTTGTCAAATTAATGTATATTTTTGTTGGTTACACTTTTACAAGAGCTTTACCGAAGTTTCCTCCCCTCAACATGTCAGTGAAGGCGTTGAACATGTTCTCAAAACCTTCAGTTATGGTCTCTCTGTATTTAATTCTACCGTCCTCGACCCACTTCCTGTTCTGTAAGATGCTTTCCATCCATCTGTCTTCCCATCTGCTGCAATGCAGTCCTTGCATCCTGAGTTGGCGTGTAACCAGACCCCCCTGAACTGGTGTAGCTGGAAAAATATGTCATCTTGTGTAAACATGATTTTGAATTTGTGAGGTTGTTGATAAAGAGGTAAAAAGTTAACCGAAAATTAATTACAAATCTTTATAATTTTGTATAGTTAAGAAATAAGATCCACTTCCACTTGTAATTCAGCGACCGGTGGTCATCTTTGTTTTCGTCGTTTGCCTTTTCTGTAATAGGGGAACCATGGGGACTTTCCGACCCTGTATATGATTTAAATTGCAGAGAAATTGTAACAATGAAACTTTAGGATAAATCAAAATGTACAGCATAGAATGTTTTATTTGTTACTCTAGTACCAAAAAATTCGTCAATCTGTATAAATTCATTGGTTACTTACCTGTAGGAAGTGACTTTTCGTTGTAGCCTGATATGCAACCACATACGGCGATTCGTCCAAAATTCTTCATGTGGTTGTTGATAATTGTACTGCTAATTTCACCACCAACCTAAACATATGTATTATATTTTCTTGGGCTTCGTGTATACAACGTATGCATATTATATGGATAAGCAAATGATAAAAAAAAATGAAGAAAACATCCGAATTTTAATATCAAAGAAATATTTGGAATTATTTTAAAAAATTCTGTACAGATAGATGTATATAAAATATTTGTCTCAAACTTTTCTATGAATTTGTGATATTAATTTGTGAAATTGGAAAGATAGGTAAAATTATTAAACTTTCCTTTTCCGGATGAATACCCATTAAACGATGTCATTTATGACTTGTGTGAACTATAAACTTTTAGTCACATTGTTAATAGTCCCGTCAGTTGCCTAATTGTTAATTGAATATTTGTGACACATTAAGACATTAAACTAGTGCCCTAAATTCTAATTAAATACCGCCATTACTTGCGGGTATAACAGCGAAATGACTCCCATCTCAATCTGGCCCTAGATTAACAATAAATATTCACTTACATTATCAAAATAGCGATCAATCCCTTGGGGAGCTATCTCCTGGAGTACTTTGCTTATATCGTCGGTCTTATAATTAATGAAATGGTCGAAACCCAGCTCATCCACTAACCATTTCCCCTTTTCGTCCGATCCGACCACACCAATAACTTTGCATCCTTTCAGTTTGGCGATCTGTCCAACATGGCTGCCCACCGCTCCGGCAGCTCCGGTCACTATCACCGTTTGTCCGATCTCGGGAAGCAAGATGTCGGTGACTCCGAAGTAGGCCGTGATTCTGGAAATAAAGAGCGCGCGGCGGGTGAAATTTTCCGTATGCTTTGATTTTTACTCCTACTTTAATCGTTGAGTACCGTAATACCGGATTTATTGTTAGGTGTGTAATTGCTTTAACTCGGCTATACCAACAGCGGTTAGTTGTTTAAATGTAAATCTACCCTTGCCTTTATAGCTATTAGAGCTCGTTTTAATGATCAAATTCTTACAGATTTCGTCATCCAATCATGTAAATTAAATACACTATTTCGTACATACTTCCATTTTAGCATAAAAACAGATCCCGTAAAACTATTTATTTTTATTTCAATTTTTTAAACATGACTACACTACTCACTCTTAGTATAGGAGCATTTGTGAACTAGTATTTTTTTTTGTTACTGGTAGAAATCTGAGAAAACACAAGTGTTTCAGGAAATAACAAACTTTATATTGTAAACAAGGATTTTCGCAATTATCAGTTACGGAAAGTCTTGCATTCGTTGACATGTCAGTTTGACTAAACTTCACCCTTTTGCTAAATTTGAATTTGCGATTTACATTAACCTACTTTTGCTGTTAAAATATAGGCCCTAAAATGTTGTTTCGTTGCTTGTGATTGTGAGGCGAGTTGCTCTACGTAGTAAAAGTTTTTTTAATATAACTATAAATTTATCGAAAATAATGGAGTATAATTAGATTAAAATGCTGCTAACTTATACAGGGTGATTCAGAACTTACCCAAAAAAAATTCTGGATATACAAGGGACTCTTACAAATACAATTTTGCAAAGAAAAAATCAAAAAAGGCAGTTCGAAAATGATTTAAAAATACACCTCTGCACGACACTGGAAACTGGTCCTATTTTATATCAGCAAATTCAACTGATTTTGCCGTTACTGTCATTATTAATTAATAAAATTAATTTGTGGTTTTAAAACTTTTAAACAATAAAATAATTTGACATATCTCATGTTACAACTGTTCAAAATTTTGTCCACCGACGTCTAAACACATATGGAGCTGTCTTACTCAGTTTCTACGAACTAACACAAATACTGTCTCTTGTTTCACCATAATACAAATGCTTCATAATGTTTTTTTGCTTCACTATAAATTAAAACGATATCCATCAACTCCGAGTTGCTATACACGCAAGCCATTTTTAACACTAACTACTAAAAAACTATTGTAAACACTATGGAAACGACGACTGTAAAATCGGATTTCAGTATTCGGAGTCGCTGAGGCCACGTGGCTTTCCACGCGTATTACTAGTGACGCTAGAGACTACAGTTGTCCAGCTACTCGTCCAGCTATGTAATGGTTGAAAGTACTACAACTAAATTTTTTTTACGATATTGACTCCATTTCTCATGCCGCATCTATTCCCAAATTTTTTTTGATAAATTGTGAATCACCCTGTATAAATGTTGGCTTCCTCATAGGTTCTTTACTTACCCAGGCATACCTAAAACCCCCAATCCTAGAGAAATAGGAAGGTCCCCAAAATCTGGGAGTATCATAGGGCTACTCCATTCCGATATCCTCTTACCATCCGATATGGTATGTGTCCTCCACCCAAAACGTGCTTCCACATATTTTCCAACCGGGTATTTTGGGTTTTTACTCTCAATTATTCTAGAAACGAATATAGATTGCATTTTAATCCATAAGAAACAATTGTTAATCAGGGTACAGAGCTCCACTTTATTCCATTTATGTTAGTACGTAAAACAAAAATTATAAAAGCAAAAACTTACTTGGCAATTTGTCCTCCTACGAAAGTATCTCCTAGAGGTAATCTTGGGGCATACGCCCTCATATAAGGGTCGACGCTAAGGTAGACAGCTTCTGCTAAAAATTCTAAACGAGACCAAATATCAATTAAAACAAAACCTTTCTGTTATATGTTGCAATTTAGTAAATCTCGTTAGATAATACGGAAAATAAATCCTTTCAGATAACACGATCAACCTATATTTGATAAATGTCATGCATAATACGGTTAATTTTTATTAATACGAAGCAATACCTCCATCCTTGATGTCGGGTAGTTCCTCCTCTACCAGTTTCAAATCCGTTTCCTGCGGAAATCCATTAAACTGCTTCTCGAATATGAAGGCCTTTGCCACCACCATTGCTACCGTCAAATTTTGTTCAGTTGCTTTAAGATACGTTGTCGATTTAATGGCAATATACGTGCGTATGCGTGTCGTTGCTTTATCAGCAATGACTTGCGGTAATCAGTAAAAATGTTATTTTTATTATTTGTACTCCCAAGTGTGGATAAAATGATAACGACATGTTGTGTTTAAAGGTCGAAGTATGAGTATATTCGGTTGCATAAGGTGCTTTCAACGTTCTTATGACGAGTTCTAATAATAATAATAATATATTTATTTTACTAAGAATGAGTAGATAACTCGGTAGATAACGTATCTTCAAAAACCCTTTTATTTTATCCTTTTTCACCCCTGGCCGGGAGTTGAAAAAATACTGTCACTGTTAATTTATACCTCAAACTAACTTATATAAAAAATTCAAGCAAGTTGACCAAAATTGCGATTTAAAGGCCCATTAAATTGGACTAAAAAGGGCATAAAGAATTTCATTGATTTTATTTTATTTATCTCTTTCTACAGTTGCAGTACACGACTCTTTTTAAAAATTTAAATCAGCGGTCCCAAAAATGTTTAATTTAGAGGGCGTTGAGCAATTATTTTTTTTTCTGAAACGAACCAGTAGCTTTAGATAATGAACCATTCCAGTCGTATTAAAATTTCGCTATTCTTTACGTTTATTAAAACTTTTATCGCATTTCCTGACAACGTTTATTCCTCAGGGGGTTGTTTCGTACAAATCATTTATAAATTTGACTTCATCCAAGGGATCTTAATCGATTTTCTCCGTAAATATCCGCAGCAAACATTTAATTTTCATTATTATACTTATTAGGAGGTATTCGAGCATTTAGGTTTTGTTTCGGCAAGTTTTTATAAATAATAAAAGTTTCTCCTAAATCCCGGGTATAAATCCGGTGGGACATACGATCCATCATAACTTTGACAGATTCCACCTGAAAAATATGAGTAATACCTATCAAGGGGGGCACATGCAAGCCTCTGTTACACATTTTATTATCATACGCTTGAACCAAGTCAGGAGTTTTGAATATTGTTGGGCTAATATGTAGATCGACATAAATAAGTTTGCGTCTGAGAGAGTTCCGCCCACATATGCGCACTGATTGCTGTACCAAATCGCCGCGCCTGCGTTTCCTTTTATTAATATCAAAGAATTAGAGAAATAAAAGATGTCAAACAAGAGAAGTTTAATAAGTAACGAAATCTACACTTTAACAACAGCCTTTCCAAAGTTTTTCCCTTGCAACATTTCTACGAAAGCTTTGATCATATTTTCAAATCCTTCCGTCACGGTTTCCCTGGTCTTAAGTTTTCCTTCCTGCAGCCACTTCAAATTTTGCTGGACGCCTTCCGTGTATCTGTCACTCCATCTATGCACCAAGAAGCCTTCCATTTTTATCTGCTTAGATACTAATGAGAACAGCTCAAATAGTACTGGAAAAAAGAAAATATTAAGCAACATTATTTTCAAAACGCGTTTACAATAAAAACAACAATTTAACAAGATTATTATTCTTAAATGTTCGAACGTACTTCTACCGTCTTTCTCGTTATAACTGGAAATAGTTCCACATACAGAAATACGTCCCAATTCATTCATATGTTTTAATATAGTGATGGTTGTCTCGCCACCTACCTAAAAAAGGTATATTTGAAAGCACCTCACTTATGCATAGCCATAGATTTAGAAAATAGCTTTAGTGAGAGGGGGCAAGCAATTTTTTTAAATAAATAATAATAAAAGTGTAGATCCCATTCTCAAAATTGCAAAAATGTTTAAGAAATTAAAAAAAACATCTATTTTATCTGAGTTTTTTACTTATATCTTGGAGCCTATGCATTTTGGAAGAATATTGAAGAGGAAAAAAGGGTTAGAATTGAATTTTGCACAATATACTGTAAGTAAAAATTTTTTAAGTTTATTACCGATGTTACAAAATAGCAATAATTGATGAAAAAAAGCAAAATAATGTTTTTTGGATAATTGTTTTAAAATATTTTAATTGCTCCGAGGGCATTCTAATTTTAGTAAAAAAAACTTTAGAGTATAATAAAACAACACACCAAATTTCATTACAATTGGTTCGATAGTTTTCGCAAAATAATTTTTTGAAAAAAATTTTGAAAAATTTTTTCGAGTTTTCAAAACGTTGCACAGCCTCAAATAAAGCGTCTAGATTTATTGTGGCCGTCCTGATCAACCGATTTCAATTTTTCAAAAACCATTTGAAAGGTTGAGCGGTCTTTTCTATATAAAAAAATTTTCAATAATCTAGATGCTTTATTTGAGGCTGTGCAACAATTTGAAAATTAGAAATTTTTTTTCAAAATTTTCTTCAAAAAATTATTTTGCGAAAACTATAGTACCGATTTTAATGAAATTTGGTGTGTTGTTTTATTATACTCTAAAATTTTTTCTACCAAAATTAGAATGCCCTCGGAACAATTAAAATATTTTAAAAATTTATCCAAAAAACAAAAATTATTTTGCATTTTTTCATAAATTTTTGCTATTTTGCAACATCGGTAATAAATTTAAACATTCTTAACTTGCAATATATTGTGCAAAATTCAATTCTAAAACTTTTTTTCCTCTTCAATATTCTTCCAAAATGCATAGGTTCCACGATATAAGTAATTATATTATTATTATATTGCAGCTATTTTGCAACGTCGTACACTGGGATTTTTTAAGGTTTTTTCTTCAAAAGTCCAGAAGATGGCCAGATTTCAGCTGATCTTCATACATTTTTTTCTAAAATACTCGTAAAGACTTGTACTTTCATGCCCAAATGCTATAAATTTGATTTGGGTCATATCGATTGAGTTTTGAGAGATTAGGTTGCCGATTTCCGTTATTCCACGTTGAATATTCTTTCTTCTTATTTTTCTTTTTCTTTTGTTACATTATTTTACCGGCATGTTTGTTATATTTATTCTTTACATTTTGTTCTGTATGCTTACATGTTTGTAAATATTATATATTTGTATATTGTACTCCTGTAATTGGTGATTTTCACTGTTGGACAAACAATCTAAATAAATAAATAAATAAATATTAAGGGTAAAAGAGTAGTAAAAGTTCATATCGACTGATTTCTAAGGGGTTCTCTCACCATTAACTTTCAACGTTTTATTCTCTGAAAACGCAAAAAAAATTGAAATTTGGCAACCTAACCTCAAAACTCAATCGATATGACCCAAATCAAATTTATAGCACCTGGGCATGAAGGTACAAGTATTTACGAGTATTTTAGAAAAATATGTATGAAATTCGGCTGAAATTTGGCCATCTTCTGGAATTTTGAAAAGGAAACCTTCAAAAATCCCAGTGTGCAGCGGTGATAAATTTAAACATTTTTAACTTACAGTATATTTTTGCAATTTTGAAAATGTTCCGGACCTCGCCCAGATCTAGGGATCTACACTTTCATCATGTGAGTTGTCCTGAAGGTATTCCAGCAAAAATTAGCTTGCCTCCTCTTACATCCAAGAAGAGGAATATTTCAACAGATCCGCCCTGGTCCTGGTTTGATTCACTTTTATTACACTTACATTATCAAAATAACAATCGACCCCTTTTGGAGCAACTTGCGAAAGAGCCTTGTCCAGATCAGCAGTTTTATAGTTGATAAAGTGATCGAATCCCAGTTCATCCAGCAACCACTTCCCTTTCTCTTCCGATCCTGCGATTCCTATAACGGTGCATCCTTTGATCTTAGCGATTTGACCGACGACGCTACCCACTGCCCCGGCAGCACCCGATACGACTACGGTTTCGCCTTTCTTCGGCTGGCAGATTTCCAAAAAGCCGAAATAGGCCGTATTTCTATAGGAATAAGGTAATTTAAGATACAAAATTCTAAGTCAATGTACCAGGTTAAATAAAACCACATTCTTGACAGTACAGAGCCCTCTGAGAATTAAATTTTGATAAAATTAAAAATAATTGATTTAAAGAATTGTCATTGTAATGATAATATCGAGGGGTGGATAACTCAATAAAAATTTGTACACAGATTTTAAATCCCAATTAATTAGGACTGATTTAAGTACTATTTTTCAATTATCCAGATTTAACATGATTTAATTGAGAAATTAAGAGATTTAAATTGAGATTTAAAAACTTATTAAATTTGATTTAAGGACATTTCTTTGGATTTAAGGAGATTTAGTTAGATTTAAGGTACTGGATGGTGATTTATATTGATTTAAAAGTGATTGGACCAGAAATTTAACACAAGTCAATATTACTGACATTGTTTTTGCCTCAGTTAAAATGATTTTACTAATGTAAATTACCAAAGTGGAAGCAACTTCCAATTACCAATGTTTTTTTTTTTGATATTTGCTTACTTACACTATACGCGTGAAAATAAGCTGCAAATATAAAATAATGTTTAATAAAAGTTTGTTATATTTCTATATATTTTTAAAATCTTTATACATGTTCTCAATCTGTACTGTATCATATCTTTTATTTGTAAAAGGTTCGTTTCCACATATGAGAATTGGTCCATAAAAAATAAAATCTCTCTACGTCCTGAACATCTTCTTTTTTGGCCATATACAGGGTGTCTCATAATTAGTGTCCAATAATTTACTACTTAATTCTATTGCCAACAATAAAAATATGTTTTCATACATACAAACATGGGACGATAAATGCTTCCAAAGATAACCCCTAAATGGGACCTCAAGAAATTAAATTTTTTAAAATATTTCCGAAACAGGTTGAAGGATAATTATGCATTCTGACACCATCAACGCGCATTAAAAGTCGAAATAGATTATGATAAAATTTTTGAAAAATATTAGTCAGGGGCGTCTCAATTGGGAGGGTCGTTGGCTAAAATTTGCCCCAATTTTTTTACTTGTCGAAATGTTCAAATTCAGATGCCAACGTATAATGAACTTCACTTCCTCTACAAAAAAGGTACTCTTTATTTCTTTCGATAAAATGCTCCATTTCCGAGAAAAATTGATTTAAGCATTTCATTACATTACCTTAATAAAATGCACTTAAAGCTAGCGAATTTCGTTAGCTTTGCTTATGCATGTTTTGGCTATTGCGAATTAAGGAGGAAGTTTATAGTCTTATGAAAATTTAAATCACGATTTAATAGATTTATAAATATTTTTTGGCGATTTATAATGATTTATAGGAATTTAAAGGAATTTTAATAGATTTAACGCCTCCAAAGGTGATTTAAATAGATCTAAAATTATATAAATTGATTTATAGACAACTGTATTGATTTAATAAAATTTATAGAGATTTAATTTGATCTGAGCTAAGAATGTACACGGATTTAAGGGAGTTGTCCACCCCTCGGATAATATTTAGAGATTTTTAGTTGGCAGTGCTAGTAGTGTAATAATTTATTAATGCCTGTATACAAATCCTTACCCTGGCATGCCTAGGATTCCAAGGAAGTACGACGGGGGTACATCCTTAACAACTGGTAGAAGAATAGGAGCTGGAGTTGAGGAAAATCCCAGAGTAACTGGTTTACCATTAGACACGGTGTGACTTCTCCATCCAAAATAGCCTGATACGTGTCTTCCCATTGGATAGTCTGGATTTTTGCTTTCTATAATCCTGAAAGGACACATCTTTAGTCGGCTTTTTGTCAGTGCGAATAAATAATTCTCACTTTGCTACTTGTGATCCTATGTAAGGTGCACCTAATGGTACCCTTGAGGCATAGGCTCTCATGTAGGGATCCACACTGAGGTAGATGGCCTCTGCTAGAAATTCTACAAACCAAAACATAGCAGAGTGTAGCAGAATTGTATTTTTACAATATTAAGATAGTGTATTTAACATTCAAACCATTAATTAACAGTAACTAACAGGAAATAAAAACGTTTAGAGGATGCAAAAAAGAATAGGTTAAAATATTATACAAAAACTGTATTTATTACATTTCCATGTCAACTACTGTCAAGTTAAAACGCCTGATACTAACCTCCATCTTTTATCGGTGGCAAATCTTCCTCCTTTATTACAAGGTCCCCTTCTTTTGGTAAACCATCAAACGTTTTGGTGTAGATGTACACTTTGGATTTCACCATCGTATGGGTGTCAACAACTGAATAAAATGAAACAAACGGAGCTGTATGCTGTTTTTATATTCGATAGTATCTTCAGGGTCAGGTTAGATTTATTTATAACGAAGCAGTGGCGTTTCACTAACTTTTAACTCGTTGAAAATTTTAATGCGTAAAATATAAATAAAAAATTCCTAAAATATTATGGGTATATACAAGACTATTTGTTAATTAGGAGTAGAAATAAAAGAGCTTAATTAGTTACAGTTATTCCTTTACGAACTTTGTCTCTTTGAACAAAAAATATCTCGTTTTGTTGAATATTTTGTCACAACTTTTTTAAGGCTAGGATTTGTTAAGATTTGATTTGATAATGGTACACTAGAGCAACTTCCTTTAATTTTTCGCATTGAAAGATCATGGAGAACATGCAAACATCAGAAAATGTACCTTTCCCGTTTTGTTCTGCAAATTTTAAAAAGTTCCCAATAATTGTGATGAATATATGTATTAGTAGATTCCTAAAAACATTCTCCGCGGTGTGATTATAGTACCTTATGCGATTTGTTGTATGCTCAACAGGTTCGTAAAATTCAGGAAAGTAAGCTAAATGTACTAGGTAAAAATATGCTCTGTTTTTCTTATTTTGAATATATTAATCTTATACCCTGAGGAAATGTTATATAACTCGTACGGTGAAGAGATATTATTTCTAATTTGTTTATATTTTCTAAAATGCTGGACAAAAAATTGTACAGACGAACGCCCCTCTTAACTGATACCTTTTGCCCACTGGTTTATAATTTTTTTTTATTAATTTCACATGTACAAAGTAGGTACTTACGTATACAGAAAAAACTAAAACTATGTTACAAATAAATAGCTTTAGAGAATACGATATCATTTCGTTCTGGCATTTTTAATTATCTATTGGACTTTGACCAAACAATGCTATTAATCATCTGTATCAGGGACATGGTACCTACGATAAGATCATCCAAAGCCATTAATTGACTTATTCTTTAGATAAACTAAACAATCGATAGATATGCATTATGCGGTAAAAGTACTGATAACTACAAGTGTTTGGATATATTTGTTTTGGAGTACCTATTTTATGAAAGAAATCTAAAATTTATGTACAGGGTGTCTCAAAATTCGCGTCTCGGGTCCGTAACAGACAAACGAAAAACGACAGTAAAAATCTGTTCAGATGGCGTGAATCGGGAGTCGGTAAGGTCCGTTTTGCACTTGAAAGACATTTTTTTGAAAATTCGGTAAATATGACAGCAGATTCAGCCATTGTTTTCACGGCAATATTGATTAAATCATGACTAATGCCAATACAATAGAATAAATTTTTATATAATGTTTGTTATTTAACTTTTTAAGGAAAAAAAGATAGAGAAAAAATTTCTGCACAAAAAATGTTCATAAAAAAATAGATAATTTTAGTTATAAAAAATGGGTATGTTCGTCGAAAAAAAAAATAATTTTTTTTTATTTTCCGAATTTTGAAAAAATGTTTTTCAAATGCAAAACGGTCGATTTTCGTTTGTCTGTTATGGGTTCGAGACACGAACTTTGGGACACCTTGTACATAACAAAATTACTTCTACACATCACATTCTTCTGTATTTATCGTCTGAGGATTCTGTGTAACACTCTGTATGAATCTGCTTCCCATGAATGAGACATTTGTTCGTTTCATTTTCAATTTGTGACATTGCATCTTCTCATAATATATTTGCTGTAACTCCGTTGTTTTTCAATGAATCTTGACGATTTTTTTTTAACTTAAAGCTCTCTTCATAAGCTTTCCGGATATGTAATAATATATAACTATATCGCGCTCGTGCATCGTATATTTCATTTTGCAACTAAGGCTAAAAAATAAAAAAAAATCCAGGTTGCAAATTTGAAATTAAAAAAAAATTATAGATTTCAGTGTATTATTATGAAATCTACCATGAAAACCTCGGGATCGTCCAGACTAATAAATTAGTTAATTTGTTTATAAGGCCATAACTTGTAAACTATTCAACTTACCGATTCCAGATTTCGTGTGAGTTATTAGATAGTGATAAGGAATGAGAGGATGCGATGCCAAAACGTTCTGGTAATAATAACGCAGTTTATAAATGTTTAATTCAAAAGTCATATATAAACTTCTTCTGTTTATAACTTTTGATCTAATCAATATTTTTTGACGCTCGAGGGCTAGTTTTGTAGGTCTTTTGTAGACGAAAAAAAAAGTACTTTACTGTTTTCTAAAGTTATAAGCGAAAAACGTGAATTTATGTAAAAATTATACAATTAACCACCCTGTAAACAATCTTCCCCCCATTTTTTGACTGTGGAAACTAATATGTTATTGTGTCGTCAGTAGTGCATACTACTTTGCACATGTATGCAGATGACTTACAAATTTTGTACAGCTTTGAAATTGACAATAAACAAACTGCTGTTGATCTTATTAATTCTGACTTGCATCGGATTAAGGAGTTATGCGATAAAAATGCTCTAATGCTTAACCCAAATAAATGTAAAAACCTGGTTATCGGTACTTATCAAAAAACTAGACAGTTGGGGGATTTTGCTGTTTATATTGACAATTGTCCTTTGGAAAACTGTAGTTCAGTAAAGAATCTGGGTCTTGTATTTGATAATGACCTGAAATTCTCACAACATGTTAGTGAATTATGTAAGAAGGCGTTCATCTCCTTTAAGCAAATAGCGCCTTTAAAACGTTATTTGAGCTCTGACATTAAATTAGTATTGGTCGAATCCTTAGTTCTGTCTCATCTAAATTACTGTGATTATGTTTATGGTCCTTTACTTACAAATGCTGATAAATTTAAACTGCAAAAAATTCAAAATTGGTGCATGCGTTTTGTCACATATATACCCTTTCTTCACCATGTTACTCCCTTTATTAGACAGTTCGGTAAATTAAGACTCAGTGAAAGACGTTATGTTCATTATTGTGTTTTTGTAAATAAGATACTGTGTAATACAACTCCTGACTATCTTTATGAGAAGTTGGTTTGGCGACATGATGTACATGATCGTCAGCTTCGTAATTTACACGATTTGCAAATAATGCGTCATCGAACTGAATATTTTAGATGTTCATTTACCTATTTAGCAGGTATGATATTAAATAATGTACTGGTGCCTCAAGACTTAACACTCCGTAATGCAGCTCTGATTAAGAAACGCATTCGTGAGTTGGTCATGGAAAACGATAACTCCACGAATGCTGCTGTTTTTTAGTTTTAGCTTTTTAATTTTTGACTTAATATTAGTATTAATATAATATGCGTGTGTGTGCGAGTGTGAGTCTGACTATACTACGTATTTGTATGTGTATTGCACAAGCATGTATGAGTGTTGTGTATGTATATGTAAGTTATACTGTTTTTTTTTACATTGTTTTAATAACACTTTATAATTTATTTATATTATTGCTTTTAATATGTGTAAGTTACTTGACTTTCTGTGGGGTAGGCTAATTATCAGTTATCTGTGTCTAGTCCTTTTGTGTATAGGTTGTATATTGTCTTATAACTATGCACAATAAATATTTTTTACCTTTACCATTGTACATAATATTTAGCATCTATGGTGATAAATTCAGCTTGCCGAAACAAAAAGTTGCGTCCAACTCTATATTTCCTGGACTATAAGGGATTTCAGGTTTTTAGTATCTGATATTTCAGGAGCATTTCTCTGAAACAGCTGATTGTCAGAACACTTCAGCACTGTGGCAATCCAGGGGAAGCAGATCGAGACCGGTCTCCAGTAAACGTCTTCTTACACGTCCCAACTTTTCGCCCCATCCCGACGGGAAATTGTTGCTTTTGTGTATTATTACAGTAACTTTATTGCAGCGAAAGGATATCCTCTAATTACTGACGAGCATGCGAAGGCATCGCGTAAACGAATTAAGTGAAAGAGCCCGCGGATTGTTTAGGGCACTTACATAACTTCCTAATTACTTTTTATGTATATAGCCGCCTTGTGAAATGTGCGTCGATGAGTTGTAAAAAGACGTAAATCCACTTTCGGATTTGTTCTTGAGAAAATACATTACAGACCGGCCATTAAGGACGTAAAAAATTCCCTTCGATATTTCGTCGGTCAACTCGGCAGCCGAAATAGATTTTAGACAGGTCGGGCCATAAAAAATATCCGTGGCAGTTTATCAACCGCTCTTAAACAAAGGTTCCATTGATTCTTACGTTCAGCGGCCCGCTACAAATTCGGTAATGGGTATTTTCTTTAATAAAATTTATTGCTTCCCCGAGTACCGAAAAAGAACAATTATAGACCAAGAAATGAAGGTGAAAAATCATGGAGAACTTGTAAAAATTACTGGGCGTGATTTTATTGTTGGAAAGTCTTGGGAATGATAATACAAGAGGCGTCTCATCAAATGGGTCATGTAAAAAGTATAACGTCATTGTTTTTATCAACAAATTTGTCAAAAATTCGTCATTTTTTGTTCTACGCGTTATTGTAAAGAAACTATTAATCTTAGCAAAAAATGTTTGATTTGATCTAGAGAAACTCGTCTGTAAAATGAGACTTGTTAAGTTAAAATTGCTTTATAAACAAAAAAGTTATTGCAAAATTAAACGGAAACAGTGCTTTTTCTTTAATTGTTAATAACTTTTTAAATAATTAATAAAATCTTACCAAACTTTCCCAAAATGTGGGTTTGTATATCCTTAAGAGATTTGCAAAAGGTGGGCTCGATCGGTCAAATAGTTTTTGCAAAATTCCATTTATTTATCCCATTTTTACAAAAGAGGCCCATTTTCAAATGACTATTCCGGAGGCAGGGTTATGATTAAAACATTCTTTTTGGACTCATTTTCTTCGAAGGGACACCAAGTATCCTCTAGTTAAAAAAAAATTAATTGTTTTTCAAATTTAGTTGTATATAATTGTTACCAAATAGAAGACACTTTTTTCCTAATAAACAAGTAAAATAACTCCGCGGTTTTTAGCTTTTGAAATATGTTATTCGAAAGCTCGTAAAAAACCTACAAATTGAAAAAAAAACAAGTTTCTACGACCAATAGGCCCGGAGTTAGCATTTTTTTTACTCACAGAGCAATTTGTTATAAACATTAAGACCTGAAATTTTAACATTTTGTAAATGAAGGTTTAAACTTTATGCCCTGTTAATTTTAAATGAATTTGCCCATAATTGATCAATCCACAGCCCGTCAAAATAAGGATATGTGGCAGTAGCCCTTCAGGGAGTGGTGGTGGGGGGATCTTCCTCTCAGCTGGAAAAAAACTGACAAATTATATATCAGCTTCTATGTAACTTTTTTTTTAATTTGGGGTAGCTCGACGAAAAAAATTACTTCTGGATTATTTCCACTCTTGTAAAATTACCCCCTGCCCTCCTAAAAATTAATTTAAAAAAAATTGTATTTTTTTTTTATTTGTGATATTTTAGACAACGTTCTCAATAAAAAAAAATTGTCAAAATTATTTTAACCCTTCAAAATCAATTTAACCCCCTCAACCCCCAAAAAATAAATATTTTTATTTTTTTTATTTTTTCATACTTTTTATATAATTATGGATTTTGTATATCGATTAAAGGAGTAATTATTTTGTAAAATAATTATTAATATATTTATTTATAATTAGTATAAAAATATGTAAAATATTTCCATAGATACTGACAGTAGAAATTTTTTTTACAATTCATTATAAATTTCAACTTCAATTTGCGGGTTGAGAAGGTTAGATTAATTTTGAAGAGTTAAAATAATTTTGACAACTTTTTTTTATTGAGAACTTATTGTCTAAAACATTTCAAATAAAAAAAAATGCAAAAAAAAATTTTTTTAAATTCATTTTTAGGGGGGTAGGGGGTGGTTTTACAAGTGTGGAAATAATCCAGAAGTAATTTCTTCGTCGAGCTACCCCAAATTAATAGAAAAGAAGGTTCTACGTTACATAGAAGCTGAGATATTACAAATTTAACATTGTCAGTTTTTTCCTGGTTGGGAGGAAGATCCCCCCACCACCACTCCCTGAAGGGCTACTGCCGCATATCCTTATTTTGACGGGCTGTGGATTGATCAATTATGGGCAAATTCATTTAAAATTAACAGGGCATAAAGTTTAAACCTTCATTTACAAAATGTTAAAATTTCAGGTTTTAATGTTTATAACAAATTGCTCTGTGAGTAAAAAAAAATGCTAACTCCGGGCCTATTGGTCGTAGAAACTTGTTTTTTTTCAATTTGTAGGTTTTTTACTAGATTTCGAATGGTGTATGTAACTTCTTTCAAAAATTAAAAATCGCGGAGTTATTTTATTTGTTTATTAGGGGAAAAAGTGCCTTCTATTAGGTAACAATTAAGTATTACAACTAAATTTGAAAAAAAAACAATTTTTATTTAACTAAAGGATACTTGGTGTCCCTTCGAAGAAAATGAGCCCAAAAATAATGTTTTAGTCATAATAGTCATTTGAAAATGGCCCTTTTTTGCAAAAATGGGATAAATAAATGGAATTTTCCAAAAACTATTTGACCGATCGAGCCCACCTTTTGCACATCTCTTAAGGATATAAAAACTCACATTTTGGGAAAGTTTGGTAAGATTTTATTAATTATTTTAAAAGTTATTAATAATTAAAGAAAAAGCACTTTTTCCATTTAATTTTGCAATAACTTTTTTGTTTATAAAGCAATTTTAACTTATGAAGAATTTTTTTTAAAGATGAGTTTCTCTAGATCAAATCGTCTGTTGAACTTTTTTGCCAAGATTAATAGTTTTTTTACAATAACGCGTAGAACGAAAAATGAAGAATTTTTGACCTATTTGTTGATAAAGAACAATGACGCTGCACTTTTTTCATGACCCATTTGATGAGACGCCCTTTGTATTATCATTCCCAAGACTTTCCAACAATAAAATCACGCCCAGTAATTAATAAATTTTTAAACGTTTCCTTTCTTGGTCTATTATTACTGATTAAAAAAAGGTGACATTTCTTTGTAAGTAACTCTAGAGGTAATTTTAAATTATCATACATGCTTGCTATCCGACAATATATCAGTGGCGGCTGGTGTGGGGGGCTCTGGGTCGTTACCACCCCCTAGAAATTATCATAGTAAAAAAAAATTGGGTTTAAAATGTATTTTACAATGTTATCTACATAATTAAATAGATTAGCTATATAAAAAACATTAAAAAGGAAATGTTAAATTTGTAATGTGCAGTCAATTTAACTAATCTATAAGTGACGAGTCATCTATATTTTTTGCTTTCGGTAATGGAGCTATTCATAATTTTCCATACCGTAGTTTTTGATAATTAGACCGTTTCTTCAAAGGCTTTATATTTTACCAAATTATATGTGCTTAGTGATAGCTGTATATACATTTTTTATAATCCCTTTCCTATGTAAAGATTTTCATTTAATTTTTTTAATTTTCATTTCCGTACAGAAGCTGTATCCCATTGGGATATAACTCAGGATAAGTTATCATCTCTTTAAATCTACGAATATATATTTGTAACCAATTAAACAAAACTATTAATATTTTGGAAATATTTTATTTCACACCACCTGTCTACACTTTAACAACAGCTTTGCCAACATTTTTGCCCTCCAACATCTCCACAAACGCCTTGAACGTATTCCCAAATCCTTCAGTTACAGTTTCTCTGTACTTCAGTTTTCCTTCCTGCAACCACTTCAGGTTTTGTTGGACTCCTTCCAAGGACCTGTCGACCCATCTATAAAATAGAAAGCCTTCCGCTTTTATCTGCTTAGCTACCAAGAGGAACAATGGTATTCGTACTGGAAAAAAAAAGGAAATATATTAGGCGTTATTATAAGATGTTGATACAAGTGCTATCTGCTACACTTTGATCTTAGTCAGAGATCGGGAAGCAATAGTACTCTCTACTATCTTAAAATTGTTTAAATCTCGAGTATTGATGTACTCACCTGATCGATCTTTTTTGTTATATGAGGAAACGGAACCACACAAAGAGATTCTGCCATATTCATTCATGTGTTGTATGACGGTAGCAGTTGTCTCTCCACCCACCTGGATATAAGCACCAACTTGATTCAATGATACTCGTAGTAATGGTAATATAGTTGACGACAATGCAAAGTGAAAATTTTGAATCAAATATTGTATAACTTCCTTTTTGAACGTTGACAGACTTGAGAAATAGTTTGTTTTAAAAATGAACGTGCATTAAAAAACAAATCGATGATTTGATACAAGACTTACGTTATCAAAATAGCAATCGACTCCTTTCGGAGCAACCTGAGAAAGAGTTTCATCTAGATCATCAGTTTTGTAGTTTATGAAATGATCGAATCCCAGTTCATCCACCAACCACTTCCCTTTCTCCTCCGACCCCGCGATCCCTATGACCTTACATCCTTTAATTTTAGCAATTTGACCGACGATGTTTCCTACTGCTCCAGCAGCCCCTGACACGACGACAGTTTCGCCTTTCTTCGGCTGACAGATTTCCAAAAAGCCGAAATAGGCTGTATTCCTGTACGGAAGAGAAAATAATTTGTCATCGTTATCAGTTTCTTCACCATAATTCTTACCCAGGCATTCCGAGGATACTAAGGAAGTATGACAGAGGAACGTCGCCCAAATCGGGTATTAGAAAAGGTGCTGGGAAATTCGCAGGTGCTTCCGGTGTTCTACCATCATGTACCGTATGACTTCGCCATCCAAAGTACCCCACCACGTACCGGCCTACTGGGTAGTCGCTATTCTTGCTTTCTAAAATCCTGGAAATTCGTTAATATTTATCTTGCGGTGAGCAGGGTATGTGATTCTTACTTTGCAATTTGGGAACCTATGTAGACCGAACCCAAGGGTATTGAAGGTGCGTAGGCCCTCATGTACGGGTCCACGCTGAGGTAGACAGCCTCTGCCAAATATTCTGGAAGCAGATTTTCAATTACACGCAAAAAAATTCTAGATTTTGCTACAATTTTCTTTCAAGAAAGCATAAGTTTGATTATAATATGCTATATTTGTCTTGAATAATTCCTACGTTAATACTAAATTTTAAATATACATATATATTTTAAGGAACTGGTAGTTTTGAAACAAATATGTTTGCAGTTTGTGATGAACTGTAAGAGATATTGTAGCTAAAATCCGAGATAATAAGTTTCAAAACTATAAAACATATGAATTAAATTATATGCATTTACAAATAATGTAAATTCTAAGAAAAATTATACATTACAGCAAATATTTCACATAGCTTGACGCATAGAATAAAATAACATTTACAGCAAATAATTCCATTTAAAACTATCTAACTTATTAGTTACAAATTGAAAGAAACCATAAACACCCTGTAAACAAACACACGGAACGTTTGTAGAGGTATGCTAATATGAAATTGTTTGTTGTTTCGTAAAGTAGAAACCGCTATTAAAGTTTGGCTAATTGTAAGTGTTTTAATTATATCCCGATTACAATAATCTTAAAAGATACATGTTGTCAGTTATCAGTTAAGTGTATCTTGGGTATTGGTATATTTATACAACATACAAGTCACTCTGAATACTCGACGTAAAATAAAAATATTTATCTACTAACCTCCATCTTTTAACGGCGGCAAATCTTCCTCCTTTATTATGAGATCGCCTTCTTTTGGCAAACCATCGAACTCTTTATTATAGATAAAAACTTTAGCTTTCACCATCATGAAAATTGAACACTGTTGAATTTATATCGGTATAACTGGTTCAAAACCTTTATATACCAGTGGTTAATGTTGTCAAGATTATTTTCAGATGATCTGTATTGCTCAGTGCCGTGGCGAAATTTTTTTAATTGAAATTGTGAAATTTCTTTTTGATACTATTTCTTATTGAGGTACTACCACTACCTATTGTTTTTTGTATTTGCATGTACAGAAATTGCCAAAACTGTTATTATAATAAATTATTTGTATAGTTTAATTCCTATGGGTTCTGTTCCGATTTTCACGGAAGTATTTTCTGATGCAGATAAAATTAGGTTTCAATAACAAACAAAAAAATATATGAGAGAGTTTTTGTTTTCAGGTTTGTAATAGGTAGGTATACGAAGTCTGTTCAGAAAATAACCGAACTTTTTTAATAAGGCACTAATAGAGATATTTAGTGTTAAGCGGTTGGCAGCATTGTGTTGCGTATACCCTCGTTGTTCTTCTATTGTTGATATCATTTAGTTTCCTTGATATTGTTATTTAAGTAAAACGTGTTTAAGTGTTAGTGGCGATTTTTGAAATGTGCGATTTTCTGGAACAGGGATACAACGTAAAATTTTGTTTGAAGCTGGGGAAAACTTTCAGGGAAACGTTTCAACTTTTGAAACAAGCTTACGGAGATGATGCTCTGGGTCATTTGCAATTTTACGAATGGTTTTCACAATTTAAAAGTTTACGTACAAAAATCTGCAAAGAGGGATCAGAGTTGTGACGAGACAACTCATGTCTTTGCAAATAAAGTTTAAAAAACTAAAGTTCGGTTATTTTCTGAACAGTTCTTGTATGTAGCTGTAATGACCTTATGTCAACCATTATTAAGTAAGTAAGAAATTTTTGTTTTAATTTATTTATTATTTACTTTTACGTAATTTTAGACAAGACGACCCGCTAATGTAATCACTAATTCTATGTAAACATCTACACTAATGCAGAAAATTAAAGGGTCAAATGAATTTAACATTTAAATTGATGAAAAAAATTTTTTTTCGAAAAAATGGAATTTTTTTCGTTTTTTTGAAAAACCTTTCGGACATTGAAGACAACAAAATCCAATTATTTCCAGCACGATTCGGCTTTCTTGTCCTATGCTTCTGTTCATCAACTTTTAATTAAATTAAAATTAAACTTGATGACCCAAACCAGATTTCGACCCCGATTCATTCTGTTTTTTGAGACAAATTTCTAATTAATTTTTGTGCAGTCTGTAATCACTTAAAAAACAGTTTTTTTTTCAAAACTACCTACCCTTTTTCTTCTCTGAAAAAAAATTTCAATTTTTTTTTTGTTTTTTTCATCAATTTAATTGCGGTAAAAATGTGAGAAAACCTCAAACAATTTTTTTCCATTTTAATAATGATTATGAAGTGTTTAAGCTCGAAAAACGTGACCCTTTAATTTTTTTCAAAAGTTTGATTGTTTGAAACAAAGAAACGGTTCTCTAGATCGAGATCAAACTCCACAGGGTTCTTCTGGGTATATCGAACTGTAAAAGTCATGCTTAACATTAGTCATTTCGTGAGTATTTGTAATTTAGCCGCCAATTTTCTAAAAAACCATAAATTACCCTTTTCTCCTGTTTTTTAAAATTCGTGTAAAAGATGAAAAAACAAATTTTTCAGAAAAGTTGCGGCAACATGTTATAGGCGATTTATTCCAGTTTTCGAAACTGCTCTTCAATTCTTTGTACGACCATTTGTCACCGAGATATCAATGGTTGAAGACAAAAGGATTCTTTTCCATTAAAAATCCGATATTTCGATGTAAAATAGTCATATCGAAATTAAAAAAAAAAGAAAATTGAAGCTGAATAAATAAGCTATCTGGCCCATGCAATGGCTTAACTGAAAAAATTTGTTCCAAGTCCGTAGACTCACCAAAAAAAAAAAAAAAAAATTGCAAAATTTTTTTGTGTCGCGCTATTTCTTAGAATTGCACGATAACCGTAGCTCCGAAAAAATTTCGACCGAAAGATCTAAAACCTAGAAACTTAGAGCTTCAAAATGCTTCTTTTTAATTCGCGATATGATCATTTTTCACCTAAATACAGTCTGTCAAAAATCAAGGAAAAATTTCGGAAATTCTTTTGACCCTTTAATTCTTTGCATTAGTTTAGAAATTGAAAAAAAGTAAAAGAAGCAACAACCATAACATGAAACAGAAAGAAAAACCGAGCTACAGATTTAAAAATAAGAGTTAATAAAATTTTATGCATATTAAAAATGTCCAAAAATGAAAATTCTGGTGATTTTTTAAAACGTTGAAATATCGGGATTGCTATAGAAAAAAAAAGGTAGAGCTGTATCCGCTTCTATTTACGTACGTGTTATTATAAACATATTTAAAAAACAATCTGAAATATTATCTTTTTATTAGATATAAATATTTTGTAGCTAGCCCGTAATCTCTCACGACGAGTGTCTATAATAAATATAGCACCAATTAACATATTGCATGCGGATGCTGTTGTGAAATAATAAGTACATTTTATCGTCTACTAACAAAGATAATGACAGTTAATTTTTTAAATACATATATGGTGCAAGAATTATGAAATAAATTTACTTGCTTGAAATTCCTCAAATACCATCTGTTTCAGATATCTCTCCCAAAACTAGTTTTAGTAATTTTTGTTCCGAATTAAAAATTGGAAATCAAATTTCTACATCAATTTGCATCCAGAAATTATACAAAAGGCAATTATCGATACACCTTGTTGAACCACGTGCAATTCTGAGATGGTGGTAGCATATGTCCGTCAATGGAATGTTTAGACCGATTAAAATTGCTGATGTCACGATGACTCGACGATTTGTTTATAATTTACACAGGATCGAGAGTAATAACAGATGATAGCGGCATTTGATTATGATCTATTATCAACAATTCAAACAATTACCACGTCATCTAATACAAAAATAACATGATAAATATACATATGACTAAAGTTCTTTGAAGATTAGTATTTTTGCCACAAAACTTTTTTTCCGATAGTAATCAAATTATAAATAAGTGAGTTTCAAATTTCACCCATGTGCCGTATCTCAAGTCGCCCGAAGTAGCTCTAAAACCAATCCAGCGGACTAGTGCCTGAAGACATAGAGCCTGTCACTCAAATGAAACGCCGCCAAAGCTGTCTTCGAGTTCAAAAATATTCTCGATAGTAAAACAGTACGAAATTCACAAAAATCGGCGTAGAATCATGTCGACTAACGGACGATGTGATAGACATAAATTGGCGGAAACGGCATGGGATGTGATCGTACGTCGACTGCACATAATTAACCAAGGCAATATTTTTATAAATTCTATATATTCTATAAAATCAAAGGGAAAACACACCTAGAAGTGTCAAGTACAAGACAAATCAGTGAAGAAAGGCTCATTTGAAAGTTTCAGAAGATGTAAAGTAAGTTATAGACAACTGTAATAGAACATGCCCAGGTTTCAAAGGAAATCCAAAGCCAGAAACTCAACACGTACTTTCTCTAAGATATACGTTAATGTTGCCATTTATGTTCCAATTAACTCAATCATGTTTCTTCGAGTCACGATCGAATAAATTATCGATTAAGACGTTAATAACTCATTACCGAACATGAATGAAAAATGTAAATTGTATCACTCAAAAATATTGCGGTGTTTGTAGAGTAAACACGCAGGCACCGCAGGTGTCTTCCAATCGCATGTATATCGCGTTGTACACTGCAATTTTTTTGTGTAAAAGTCCTAATTTGTCATATTTATTAAAACCCTATGCAAACATAATTTTATTTACAGACAGAGAGACAAGCTTTCCGTTACATTATTTTATAAACGCCGTTTACAACCGAGATTTCATCTTCTTTATATTGATTCGCAGCCTGTTGGAACTAAGTTTATAATTGAAAAATAAACAGGCTCTGCGACGAGGTTTTTAACTAACCGGCATATTAAATAACCGGTAATATTTGCCGTTCAAGTAGTATAATATGTGCAGAGATGAGGTAGGAGCGTTGACTCTACAAACTCGTTTCAGGTGGAAGCGTTATTCTGGATCAAATTATAGCTTACAGTGGACAACATTTTTACCTTGGCTAGATAAAATGAGTTTGGATCAAGAAGACCGGGCAACAATTAAGAGGAAATACATTGAAGCTAGACCAGTTGAATTATTGTATATCTGGTATTTCTTTATGGATAATTAGCAACTAGATATTACTTAATTTCCCATTGCTAAATGATTATTGTTATTTGAAAATTCCTAAAGGCTGCTGAAGCCGTTGAAGAAACATTGTTTGATTGGTTCTGTAAGATATGGGATACGAATATTCCCTTACCTGGACTTCTACTTAAGAAACAGGACAGTGGAAGCAGTGCAAAGTTAGCTGCTTCAAAGATTCCAATAGTTGGTTGCGAGGTTGGTTGCAAACAATTTTGTCAAGAGGCACTAAATTTCCTTTTAAACGGTTTGTGGTCAATCTGCTTACGTAAGCTTTCAAAATTAGGTTACTGTAAAGCTAAGTTATAGCCATTATTGAAGGACTATGTTCCAAAAGATATTTTTAGTGACAATGAAACAGTCCTTTTGTATTAGACATTTTAGATGTGCAAATGTGGAGACTGTGATGAAAAATGGAGGGACATAAAGAAAAAATATTACTTGAAGATGTTATTGTATAATTGAATTTTCACACTAGATTCTGATCTATCAGAATACTGAGTAAAACACGACCTCATTTTTATCGTATCATAGTTTACATGGGCATTATGTTTTTTCATTCATGTTCTATCTGGTATACGCCTTGAAAGGCGGTAAAAATATTGGCATAAAGTTAAGGGCTAGAAATAAATCAAAGTCGACTTTAATATTCTATATTAAATATGCTACGTCAAGCTTTACTGGACCAAACAAGGCAACGGACATTTGACAGCTTGCATGTTGGCGTACTTAAATAAGGTCTGATAGCATGGGTGTAATGACAAACTAAATGCAAAAAGCTTGAGCGAAAAATTAAAGTAATTTGGACTATATTTCGTTGCTTATCACTTGTAGACAGTTGTAAATACAGTTCCTCTAAAAAATAATTAAATTACACAAAGTTATTAAAAAAAAAACGATTTTCAGGGGCGTCCTTTCGTAGGAGGGCCCTCTAGGGAAAATTTTGATAGGAACTTGTCATGTCATAAATCCGAGAGATTACCCACATATTCTGGGACATGCACACCACGAACGATATTAGAAAATTAATTTAATATAAATTTCAGTTGCACGAGTTACCTTTTTCTTATTCAATTACGGCACAAAATACCTGAACAAATTCCCTAAAAATTCAACACAATTTGCAATAGGGCCCTTCATAATTATTTCTTTCGGGCTTCTCCGTGTAGGCTCGGGCACGCGAAGCGCGCGCGGTGTCCTCCCGATAAAGTGAACGGCAAAGCAAGACTACACCGACTGCAGAATGCGTTGAAGTACTAGGCCGCTTCTGAAGATTACAGGCAGAGCAGAAGCGGTTTGATTTTTATTTGTGTCGATCTGAGAACGGGTTTATAGCCTGGGAAAGGACGTACGAGTACGATTTCTTTATTATTTTTACTTCACAATGAGAGATTATCTCATCGGCTACGCCGATAAGTTGTTTATTGCTTTGAGTGGTTTAAATGAAGTATTAAATCTGTAGTTGTAGGTTATTACAAAAATTATGAACGCATCTATTAATCTGTATATATCTGTAATATCTGCATGTCCAGTGTCATTACAATGAACGGATTTTTGAGGTAGTAAGTGGATTCAAGAGTACGGGGTGATTAAATAGTCAACATGCAGAACATTTTCTTCATCAAAATCTCTCCGATCGGACCACTCCTGCGCCCAGCGGTCGCTACTGAACATTTTGAATGTTTATACCTTACATACAGTACTTATAGGGTTTCCTCCTGGTATAAACCACCAAATATTATCGTCATATACCTACTGTAGTTTCAGTACATAATTTCATTTCCATTAAACAAAATTACCATGTCACATATACATATATTGAATTTTTGAACATGTTTAAGTAAATTATTTGATTAAATTTAAATTGTACAAGTGTGTGAAAGTACTGTAATTAAATATCGAGAGAAAATATTTTATTAACAGGCTACCAGTTTATATTTTAACAATAGCTTTTCCGAAATTTTTGCCTTGCAACATCCCGAGGAACGCCTGAAACATGTTTTCAAATCCTTCTGTCACAGTTTCCCTGTATTTAAGTTTTCCTTCTTGTATCCATCTCAAATTCTGCTGGACGCTCTCTGGAAATCTATCGATCCATTTGTACACCAGGAAGCCTTCCATTTTTATCTGCTTGCTTACAAAACAGAACAATGGTAGTGATGTTGGGAAACCTGCAATTATTTTGTAACATATTTGAGAACTACCACTAATGAAATACAGTCTCTAATCCTGGCAACGGCATATTTATTTATTTTTTTTAATTCTTGACTATGCAGAATCCCGTAATAATAATAAACACCGGTATGTTTGCAGATACAAACCCAATCTGACGAAAATTGTCACAAAGAAAATAGTTAAATGTTATTGGCTAGTATGTTTCTACAACATGGTTAAATAATATTGGCCAAGCCGGGATTGGAGACTTTATACTGATCCGATATTGCCGTAACTTTGTGATGTAGGTACTAACTTTTCCCATCTTTTTCGTTATATGTGGACATGGTACCACACACAGAAATTCGACCACCATCACTCATATGTTTTATAAGGATAGCTGTTGTCTTTCCACCCACCTAGAAACAATTTTCGTTTTGTATTAATTTCACAGCCCCACAAAAAAATTAAAAGTATCGGATCTGGTATTCAGACCCATGTATTTCTATGTATTTTTTCCGCTGAATCCGAATCTGCCTTCAGATTTGGTCCAACGGGTCTGACTTTTCGGGAAAATTCAAAAAACAGGTCAAAATTCACAAGAAACGTAATTTACGATAGACGAAAGTTATAAAAAATCAAATTATTCTACCAGCTCACTAGACGTATGATTTTTCACTTGTTTAATTCCAATTTATCATCATATAGTCAGACCAGTTAGTCCAATTTAATTCAAAAACGGCGCCATTTTCATGGCATAATTCGTGTTGCAGAGTTCTGGATCCATCTTTTTATCCACCCACCCATTTATGAATTCATACATCTTTCTATCCAGTCGTTCGTGTATGAATACGTATATTTATTCATCCACCTGTACCACCTATAAAACCCACCCATCCAACTATCTATCCATCTACTTTTTGTACTGAGAGATGAGATAACAGCCTAGAAGATTGAGAAGCAATAAAACTTCCATGCACATCTGGATTGGTTTCCTGAAAATCTTGGATCTTGGCGAAGAACAAGGCGAACAATGTCATCAGGATATGAAGGTTATAGAACAGCGATATCCAAGGAAGATGGGATGAAAACATGATGGTCGATTTTTGTTGGTTGTTAAAAAGAGAAACGAAGAATAGAAGGACCAAACGAAAGCGTAAGCCTTTGCATAGATCCTTTGAAGAAAAAAGAACACGTTATAGCAACAAAAATAAGAATGATTTGTAGATATCGTTTTTTTTTTGTTTAGAAAGTAGAATATTCTACATGTTTTACTGCATTCTCAATCTTTTAGGCTGTTATCTCATCTCATCAGTCTCTCAGTACAAAAAGTAGATGGATAGATGGGTGGATGGGTGGGTTTTATAGGTGGTACAGGTGGATGATAGAAAGACGTATGAATTCATAAATGAGTGGGTGGATAAAAAAAAAGATCCAAAACTCTGCAACACGATTTATGCCATGAAAATGGCGTTTTCAATCTATTTTCTGTTTTTGAATGAAATTCCAGTTTGTGGGACTCTATGATGATAAATTGGAATTAAACGAGTGAAAAATCATACGTCTAGTGAGCTGGTAGAATAATTTGACTTTTTATGACTTTCGTCGATCGTAAATGACGTTTTTTGTGAATTTTGACCTGTTTTTTAAATTTTCCCGAAAACTTAGACCCGTTGGGCCAAATCTGAAGGCACATGGAAATACATGGGTCTGAATACCAAATCCGATACTTTTTTTTGTGGGGCTGCGTTTTCAATTAAAAAAAAATATAGACAAGGTTTTAATTTTATTTCTTTACTGTTTGATCATTAAATTTTTCTCACAGTGATTTCGTTGTCTCCGAAAATATTTGCAATTATAAGGAATGAGTCATTTAGATCTCGAATTGGATTTACCTTGTATTTACAATAGTTCATCCCTTAATTCGACTTCCAAACTTCTAAAGGGAGTTCTTTGGTGAAAATTAACACAACAGTTCAGATGAACTGATTCTGATACAGCAACACTTTCTCATAGCTGCCTTGATAAAAAAAATGTCGATTTTTTTTATGAAAATCATCTCTGGTTTTGGTTTAAAAGTTATTGTGAAACAATTGTTCGGAGTCGAAATTCATTTTGACTAAGGACCATTCTGTAGAAGCTTGGCTGTCAAATTTGTACAATTTTTCTAATTACTTGTGTTAAAAAATGTAGATGTAGACTTGATTAAATAAAACCACACGATACTCACATTATCAAAATAACAGTCGACCCCATTTGGAGCAATTTGCGTAAGAACTTCGTCTAGATCGTGGGTTTTGTAGTTTATGAAATCATCAAATCCCAGTTCATCCATCAACCACTTTCCTTTTTCGTCTGATCCCGCAATACCTATGACCTTGCACCCTTTAATCTTAGCAATTTGACCCACGATACATCCTATCGATCCGGCTGCACCCGATACAACGACTGTTTCACCTTTCTTCGGCTGACATACTTCCAAAAAGCCAAAGTAGGCGGTGTTTCTATGGAGAACAGATAATGTGATGTGATTTTTAGTCTCTAATACCTATCTGGTAGGTGCAAACAAGTTTGAGAACATATCTTTGACTTGTTGAATCATAGAGACTTACCCCGGTGTTCCTAGGATGCCCAGGAAGTACGATAAAGGTACATCTTCTAAATCTGGTATAAGATGAGCAGCTAGAAACCCCATACTTCCTTTACCATTAGCAACAGTGTAAGTACGACATCCGAAGAAGCCTACTACATATCTATCAACGGGAAAGTCGGGATTTTTGCTTTCTAATATCCTGAAAATACTCGTTTTTATTTTCTGATTAAATATGAATACATCTGGGCATTACTTTGCGATCTGAAAGGCTATCAGGACCGACCCTAAAGGTACCACTGATGCAGAAGACCTCATGAACGGCTCCACACTGAGATACACTGCCTTTGCCAGAAATTCTAGAAAGATATTTAGAATTTCTTCATGAAATAAAATACTTTAAGATATCTAACCTACTAACCTCCATCTTCTATTGGTGGCAAGTCTTCCTCCTTCAGGATGAGATCCCCTTCCTTTGGTAAACCTTCATATTCTTTATTGTAAATGAAAACTTTAGCTTTCACCATCGCGATACGTTAAAGATTATTCAGTAAGACGGGAGCGTGTGTTTATATTTAATTATAAATTACAGATAGTTATATTCGACCCTGTCGTACCAGTGACGTGGCATGATGTTTCATTAAATTTATTTTCAGAGACTTGTTAGTTGGAAATATTGCTAACTGAATATCGTAATTTTTTATGATGAACAAGTTGGCTTAATATACAGTCTGTCCTCGGTTGGGTTAAACAAATTTATATTTTTCATATTTCGATTAAGTCACGCTTTATAAAAATTTTTGGCTCAGAAAAGTAGACATTCATCGATATTGAATGCTACTTAATATTTATAACAAATTTTATTTTATTGTAAGATTATTTGTCAAAGTTTCTGGTAAGCAAACACTTTTATAAAGTAATTTTTGTTGAAAAATTAAAAATTTTACTATAGTTAACTCAATCTGGGAACATTCTATACGGTTAAACATTTATAGGCTATCTTTCACAACTTGTAGTAAGCATTACTACAAATTTTCGAGATCGAAAAATTTTTGTCCGCCACTGAAATGGAACATATTTGCTTTCGTGATAACAATAATAATTTATCTTTAGTTCTCAGTAAATATGCACCATCCAAAAATAACAAGTATTGCATAACCTTGTTATTTATAAATACTTTATCTCTGTCAATGAGTTAAATAAAATCAGGGAGTACGATGGGTTAAGCTGCTCTTGTTGTTCTCGGGCTAGACTGTGGGGGCTGCGCCGCTATTAGATCCTTAGATCCGCCATGATGTTGCTGTCTGTTCTTGGGCTAAGTTCTAGGATCTATACATATAAAAATATACCTACTATTTTATTTATTTGAAGATTAAAATTAATTAAATTACTTAAACATTTTTAAATTCATATATTAATTAAGACAACATTATTATATTATATATTTTACACTAAGCTGATACATGGAGAACTGATTTAATCAGTTTAAGCCCTGTCTGCTATCGTGATATTGGCAAATAGATGGAGAGATAATTTGTTATCCGGCACGATATTCACGACGTCGGAAGTTGGTATAAAGGTGCCTTATCTTCATTTATCATTATACCGTGTTGGGTACACATGAGCGTTGACCGCAAATAATACGTATGATATGCTGCTAGAACAAAAAAATGGGCCGCAAAAATTTAAACAGATTCTAATCCTACCAAGGAAAAAATATAATAGTTAATAGAGAAATTCTAATACTAATTCCGTGACCCGAAATATCTGGTAAAAGGGTAGTACTATTCGTCAGGAAAAACCACCATACATATACCGGTTGCAAGCTTATTAGTTCTCATCCATGCCACAGCATGGCTTTATTAAAATCTGATAAGCGTTGACTAGCAGCGAACATTCATAGATGTTGTATCTTTATATCTTATATTTCATCCATGTCTTAAGACGTCAAAAATAGCTTAACCATGACGTACTGATGAGACCAAATAAGTTCGAAATCGAAATATGTCTAGTGGTTTCTGTTAACTAATGATATCGCCTGTTTGGCAGATATATAAAGTTAAGGGTTTTCAAGTAGGTTTAGTGTCGTCGAGAGACTAGTGCCCTTTGACACCGGGAGTAATAAATTTGCAAAGCCGTCATTCGGAGAAGGCCTCATGAAATTTAGCAATGTTTTTGAACAAGTTGACTTAGACCGTCGGGGCTATGTGTTAGCATCTGGTATCAACGGTTTAGCCCATGATGAAGGGAAAAATCGATATTTCTAATAACGCTCGAAATGCATTAGAAAAGACGTAGGAGTTCCAAGAAAGAAAGCAAAAATCTTTGAAGGTTATGTCCAAGTTAGTTGTCAAAAGTCAAACTATAATCTCAACTTTAATTAGGCAGTTTACATTACTATACGAAGATTTGGTCATCGTCTAGCCAGCCAGCACTACCAGGTGACTTAAACAACTATAAGGTGAATCAAGATACCAAGTGGCTTTACGAAGATTGGAAGGGACTAACTCAAAAAGGACCCAAATAGAATAAATAAATAAATATATATGTGACCCACCGTCTTTTGCATAAACTTTTCCATTTGTCTTAATCGATTTACTAAAACTTAGGTTTTTTTTGGATAATATTGATTGAGCTAGTATAGTCGTTACGATATCAGTTGGAACCGCATAAAAACATTTAACTCATAAACTCTACGGAATCCATAGGCGTCCAGAAAAATTTTGCCTTGTCTCGTCTAGATATACTATATTCCGAGCTATATTCCTATTTAGTTGACGATATTCTCTAATTTTTTGTAAATAATCTTCCCGAAGTGCAACTGTACGTAATGATTTCATAATTACCATACGATTGTCAAGTTTTTTATGTTTACAACCGCATTGTAATAAAACATATCGTAAAGTATTTAAAGATTTATAATTATAATCAGGATCGCTTAATTCTCTGGTAAAATCGTCAATATTCTTTAATTTTATATTTTTCCGTTTGCTCTTTGTACCATGATTAATAACGCCTTTCTTTAATTACGCGATAAATTGTCGATTTTGATATCTTAGTTACTTCGCTAATCCGTTTCCTAATTTCTTTATCACCTTGTTCTTTTTTCAAACATTCATATATATTTAAAACAATGCAAAAAAATTATTTACGACCTAGTGAACCAATACAGGTTTGCTTTGACGACCAGCGCGTCGCCGTCGATTCTACATCAGGCGGATTGGTCTACCAATACCGGACTCGCCCAATCGAGTATAAATTCGAGTATAAATTACGAGACACATCATGGCTAAAGCATAAGAAGAAATTTCACGAGAAGTGCAGACGGTCCTGTGCTTTAAGATTCACAGGTTCCAATTGATATGGTAACAACTATAACTTGAAACACACCAATAGTATTCGTGCATCGAATTTGGGATGAATTTTATATCCATCAGTCACCTTTTCCAACACCGGAAGAAAGGAAGGACATAATTTAAGCCACCCTGTTGACGAGACAGCCTACGTATCAGTGCCGTTGCCATTATACCCGCTTACAATATTCTTGCGGGGGAAAACGACCCTTAATTACAGGAATACATAAACACGGAAGGGTGTGGGGGTGCAGACTCGCGGTGCCAGACGGCAGTCGGTCTCTGTAATTATTCAAAATCTCGGAATATTGTTATCTGCCTGGGAAGCACCTAGATCCGAGTGATACAGTTTATCAGCTTGCGAGGAATGGATTATAATGTCTTAATCCATTATCTTAATCATTCAAGGCACACTCTGTCTGTCTAAGGATGAAGGATACGGCGGGAAAGCGGTGCTCCTTTGAGGCACGCGGACCACACTTTAATTCTGTTAATGCATGCAAGGCGGGAAATTATTTCTATGGTGGTTTGCAACGTGAGAGACGTAGAACCGCTTTTGTTGTCTCTTGTGGCGTACGCACGAGGATCATCGGCGTGTTTTGAACGTTCAGAAAGAGGGGGATGGGGATGTTCCTTGAAATTGTAAACAGGGCGTTTCACATTTAGGGAAGAGTGGGGTAGGAATCTTAAATAATACAAGCAAACGCCAAATAAAACGAGAAAGCTTATTTGAAATAAAAATTCAAATTGAAAGTTCGACAGTTAGCGACAATCTAGCTATCACTTGAATGCAAGGAGAATCAAGATACCAGGCGGCCCAAACAAGCACAAGATGAATCAATATACCAGGTGGCTCAAAGAATATTGGAGGGGACCAACTCGAAAAGGACCCAAACTACTATCGAAATAAATGAAATAGAGGTAGACAAGGGGAGGTAGTTTGGAAACCGATATTAAGAAAACGAAAATTGGACCATATATAGTCTCACTATTACTCTATTGTGTGCTAAAATTTCAGTTAGTTTCGTTATCCCATTTTTTAGTTATTAATGAAAATGTTGAAAAAATCACGGTTTTCTACCTACAAAATTGATACCTCTCACTTTAATTCGTCGTAATTTTTTTCTTGATTGATAAAAAATTCCAAATTTTTACTGACGATAAGTCGAACTATTGTCTTTAGTACTGTCAAGGTCATTTGTCTCAAAAGCTATTCTTTTTTTATATTTAAGCGAAACAAAAGGAAGTGCTATCTCCGTAAATATTTTCAGATGACGTCGATAATAACAGCAATGGGAGATTCTCCACTTCCTCTCCCAGCCGACATATTGAAATTTTGGGGACCTGATATTAAACCGAGAATTAGCATAAACCCCCTGACGGGCGAAATTTATTTTAGACGTCCCGGAACAAATACCTAACCGGAGTGCAACGTAGTCTTATTAAATACATCAAAAGCGATTTAATGGTTCTCGAGAATACCGAAATCTTGACAGACTTACTACATCAGCAACATATTGCATGCCGCGAAATTACTGATAAATCTCTTTCAGGTGACGAGCCCCATACATACTTGCTTTATCGTCACGTTACGTCGTTTGGGGTTATCTGTTGATGCTCAAAGGTTCTTGATACACCGAGAGAACGATTCGTTTGATGCGATAAAGCTTACGGTGCTCTTGTGACTGCACGAGAAAATTGTTTTGGTGAGGAGGCAATTATAACAGGGGCTGTCAAAATGAAATGTTCTAAAATAAATACATACATTCAAAAATTGGTTCACAAAAACCAAACAACCATGTCAGCTAAGAAATAATCTGTCGACAAACTCGACTCAGAATAAAAAATGATGCTTATGTCTTTAACATCATCAGGGCTCTAAAGAATAGTGCTATGTTAGACATTATAGCCTCTCTTTGATGATATGAAGACATATTTTTTTTCTGTTGCTGCTATTGACCGAAGCAAGATAACTCTGAAGACTGTCAGTCCAAAACAAAGTTAATATTGGAAAGTATTTCTATAGCATCCCCATATAATTGACATTGTATATAAAGGTCTTCAGCAATATCGTTAATAAAGATAACAAATTGAAGAGGTCCTAGCATGGTGCCTTGAGGAACACCTGAAAGTTTAAGAAAAGTATTAAGTTTGAAGCAGTGGCGGGTCGTGACATTGTAAATAGGTGAGGCCCGTGGGCAAT